ATTAACTGGTTTGATATGGTACATATATATTTATTATTGTCCTTTATCATTAATAAACATCCTTTATTTTGAAAACCTGAACTTATTAATATTCATAAATTAACTTCTTTGGTTTAAACCTTTTATAAATTTCCAAAAGGATAAAATGAATAGGCTACATTCCCTAATTGTAAATGTGATTAATCTGAAAACTAAAAGGCAAATTTAAATTAAAATTTCCAAACAGAGAAATTTTAAATCATTCTCCTTTTAGAGCAAATAGGAATTTTAAATCAAATTGAAAATCAAGAATGTATTTGTAAACAATTACAAAAACATCATTGGTACTACATCAGGGCAAACCTTTTAATTATACACAAATTTTTACTGTAAGAGATATTGTTTACTATGGTAAATGATATAAGCTTACAAATCAAGAATTCAGGTAAAGATTTTTTTAAAGCATGCCTAAAGAAAGCAGAAGTAAAGTAAAAAACAAAAATTAATCAATTAGGTAGCAGAGAAACAGAATCCAAAAGCCATTTCTTTGAAAATTTCAAGAAAATAATTCCCTGTTAAGCAAAATTCAGAAAAAAGCCAAACTCGGTCATAAAATTAGGAATGAGAAAAGAGTGTAATAGCAAGTTGAGGCTTATGTGCTCTAGTTTTATGAAATTAAAAAATCTGGGGGTGCCTGGGTGGCTCAGTCAGTTAAGCGACCGACTCTTGATTTCAGCTGGGTCATGATCTCACCCACTCCAGCCCTACATCCAACTCTGCACTGACAGCATGGAGCCTGCCTTGGATCCTCAGTCTCCCCCTCTCTCTGTTGCTTCCCTGCATCCTCTCTGTCTCAAAAATAAATAAGCAGTTAAGAAAAATTTAGAATTTCCTAGAAAACATACAATTTGTTGAATCAGGAAGCAGATTTCAAAAAAAAAGCTACAATAACCAATCAAAAACTTTTAAAAATATTTTTAAGTATTTAAAAATATTTAAATTTAAAAATATTATTTCTTTAAAAAGCTAGAAGCACTCTTTCAAATGTAAAAGAAACAGATATTTCCTATGTTATAAAATCTGTTCCGGAACCTTAAAAACTAAATAGTTTACCAGTTAACTTTACAAAACTACATAAGCCTGATACCAGAAGCCGACATATAAAATAGAAAAAAAAAAAAAAATTAAAAGGAGGAGGATAAAATTGTATTTTTAATACATTGCATTGAAGAAAACTAGTTAGGCCCAAGACTTGTTAACAAAAAGTTGATTTAATGCCAAATGAGTTTGAGTTACACATCCTCTTGAAGAGATCAGCAATGTACATCATCACATCTTAAAGGTTCTGCACTTGTGTGAGAATTATCATTAACGGCAAATTCTAAAATTTTTCAAACATATAACATTTTTTTACATCTTCATTATTAACACTTAAATACGTTAATGTACCTCTAATGCTTGATCATAGTTGGTCCTCAATAAATATGTTATTCTTTTTCTCTCTTTTTTCCTAATTGTGAGATTTTGTGTCTTCAACAGTAGATGGCATTGAGCTTAATCATAACCATTCAGGCTTTTCCTGATGGAATGGTTACAGAGCTGATTAAACATGTTGTCAAGTTAAAATAAAAATACAGGGAACAGAAAGGAGATAAAGAGAGTTTGGAGACATCGAGGGAAGGGAGGAAGCTCCAAGGTCTTCACTGCACAAAGTGGGGAAACATGATATGATTTATGTTTATTGAACAAGAAATGGAGGTATTGATGTGACATTCAAGGAACTCAGAATAGTGACCTCACTAGTACTAATTACAAGGAATGAGAGACATAACTCCTCATCTATCAGACAGTCAATAGACATTGCCCAAAGTTGGTAAGTCAAGAAAGTGGTACAAACATATTATTTAAAGATGTGGAAGTGACTATTTTGAAAAACCAACAACCCAAACTAATTAGAAGTAATTGCCTTTGAGGAACAAAAGTGAAGTTGGGGTGGAGGACTGTTACTTTTCATTTTAAATCCTTCTGTATTATTTGATTTTTTTTTAAATGATGTGCCTGTTTTGGTATGTTAAAGCTTTTCTAATGTAAATGTGTAGATGTACAAATTTCATTTTTAGCAGAGTTAGTGGAAGATGACAATTTAGGATATAGATTAATACAGGCATAATGTGACTGTTCAAAACTACTAAAACTCAATTTCAATCTTGGCTCAACCAACTACTAGGACTTGATGATTTTAAATAAGTCACTAAAACTCACTAAACCTCAGTTTTTTTCCTCTAAAAATATCAGTAATTATAAGTACCACATAATGTTATTTTGATATTTGAAATTGAGATAATGTGTCTAAAGCACACAGCACACATATGGAAAGTGCTTAATATTATTATACTTAATAGTTATAAAGTAACTTAATAGTTGTTTTTAAAATTATTCTCGATTATATGCTGTAGTCAATCTATTTTTTCAATCTCCCTTTAGGTATGAGCATATAAATATGTAATATGTAAGTAGAGATTTCTTAAATGCTAATTGTCACAAAAATTCTTCTAGTTTTTAAGAATTTCAGAACATTTTTATTACCTGCTTTAGAGGCATCATGATGTATTGGAGGAACCCGGGATTAATTTGTCCCCCTCCACCTTGGGTAAGTCATTTAATCCAATTTAAGTCACTCCATTTATAAAATGGCATAGCTGGAGATTGACCTGTCTGAAAATTATAGAGAATCAGATGTTCATTTGAGGTGCTGGCCACTTCTAAAGGCTGGAGAATAAGAGAATAAAGTGACCCATTGAATATGGAGCAACTGTGAGATTCCCACATGTCAGTCAAGGCTTGACCTCCAAATGTCTGGCCCTAGGACTGAGGGAATTTATTTGACCTCTGAAATGAAGTTTGGTTTGTTAGAAAAAAAAATTAATCATGTGCTTTTTGAGGCATAAAAAGCCTGCTTATTTCTGTCAGATGAATTTACTCATCTAAAATCATCAGGGTTTCTCTTTGCAAATTCAATTCCCACTAAATCATACTAAATCATATGCCATATTTTTGAGTTTCATATACAGAATTCCACTTGTTGAATTAATGGCTATGCATAAAAATATGGTTCCTTTTCACTGACAGTACATTAACAAAAAAAGATCATTCAATCAACTTTCATGCCAATATTCATTTTTCAAGTTACTCAAGAGTAAATTGGATAAGATTCTGTTTACAGATTTACTTGCAAAAAAATTATTTTTCATGATATTGCTACAAATGTTTAAAAAAATAAAGAGGATGTGGGAGACAGGATGAAGAGCTTGAACTTTAATTATATCTCTACAGAGCAAATTCTTGACAAGTATACTCCCTCACCAACTTGGTAAATATTTATTGTGGGTAAGATTGATACTGAGATGACAAAAAAGAATTCCTGCTCTCACATTAGCACATCAGCAGCAGGTCTGATGTAGGCATGCTTGAAACAAAAAACGTCTATTTTCATTTTCAAAAATAGTAAAATATGAGAAAATCTTGCATCACTAATTCAAATAAAATGACAAAATGAATATACACTTAAAGGAAATTTTCTCTTCTCTCCATCCTAAACTTTCCATCTTTTTTTTTTCTATTCATACTTACAGGATTGGTATGTAATGGAAAAATGAAAAGACAGCAAACTATTTTGTTTGTACTGTATTATCCTTCCATTGTTGAAGACTATTACCTTTTTGAGCTAGACCTTCTTGTTGGGACATAGGCTCCAAGAAACTCCTCAAAAAACTTATTTTTGGGAGTTTCCTGATTGCACATTCTGTTTGTTGTATAGGCTGCTAATAATTGCAGTACAATTTCGAGATTCCACTGGGGCGGTCTCTACCTTAATTCTGCTTTTCTTGTGAGGCCCAAGCCCCCCTCATGCAGCTGTGGTGGAGATAGAAAAATATAATACATAATAGAGCTGACGATTAAAGATGGTGGACCGCTGAGCCTACTATATCTTCTCAGAGGAGCACCAGGAAGCCTGCAAAGAGGAAAGGGCTGCCCTGACTTATTCAGTTGTCCAGAAACAAAGAGCTATCTGGCAGGCCGCAGCAGTGTCAGCAGCCTGCCCAGAAACTATTAGGCCCTGTGATGAGTGCCAGTTAGAGCACCCAAGAACCACACCATCACTCAACCCCTCAGCCTGCATTCCTGTTATAACACCTACGGCTACTGTACTTTCAGAAATTCAACTTTCAAATATGTTTTAGGATCACGTCACGTGCATACATGTGGAACAGCTTACATTCAAATTGGGACAGTATTATATTACCAATATTTTTAATCCACTAAATTTATAGAAGGACAATAAAGCATGTTAATATTAATTTTATTACTTTACCACCAAGGTCACTTTAAGCATCACACACAATGCACATATAATGAATGGTAGAATAGGTAATAATCCAAAATTCTAATCCCCCAAGATTATTTGCCACTATACATTTCTGTATCAATTACTGTATTCCAAAAAAAAAAAAAAAAAAAAAAAAAAAAAAAAAAAAAAAAAAGGAAGAGCTTAAAAATATCTTTCTCTACATGTTCTGACTCTATCCTAACATCTGCATTAAGGTCATATTTAAAGGAGGCCAAGATGTAATTTAATTTTTTAACAATATTCTCTCCCCCTTGACAAGTATCTCAGTTTAGAAATTACACACAGCCATTAGACTATTAGGACACTTGTTCTACTAGAAATACGGCTACTATATCAATGGGCACAAGGCAAAATTTAGCAGGACGAGTAAATAATATAAGTAATTTATATAAATAATATAATGAATTAAAAGGTTTAGATGAACTTTATTATCTACATTGTCTGTTAGATGTTTAATTGTATTTGTTATCAGATACGTCATCTAATACCTAGGGTCAAAATCCAAGACATCTTTTGAAAGGAGAAAAAAAATTACACTTTAAAACCCTTTAGATTGAAATCTATTCGCAGAATTTCCAGAAATTAGAAAACGTGGCTTCAAGTCGTAATCTTTCTAAAGCTGTGTTTCCTTGCCTGGCCAGTAGTTGGGTTGTAGCAAATGATCACCTGTAGTACAGTTTTCCTTCCTGATTGTTGTAGACACCATTGTTCCTTCTCTCTTGGTTCTGAAGCTTCTATGTTTTGAAACACAATTTTTCTTTAAAGTGAAAAGTACTGCAATACTTAGGAAAATAGACACTGTGCCCAGCATCACAGTTAGTCCCAGATATATGTGTCTAAAAGAAGAGAGATGCTCAATCACAATTATTGCAACTATCCAACTTTAAAGTGTGAAAGGAAGGCAACGTTAATCAATAAATATCATGTCAATAAAACCGATCTACCAATGAAACCATCATGAGGATGATTTTCCTTAAGAATGCAGATTCAGTGGCTATAAAAGAGCTTTCTGTGAACATTGGGCAGACTACTGAAGACAGTGTACTAATATAAAGCCATCTCTTAGTGATGCCATAATTTTAGTTACTACTAATTACATAATCAGTTCCATCCTCTCTGTAAATTATTTCCTTAAACCAGGTGACCATATGCCTATTTGTCCAGAACAGTCCTAGCTTATGCTGGTGTTATCCCAGTGTACTTTTTAATAGTGCCCCTTTCACTCTCAAAAGTGTCCAGGTTGAATAATAAATTATGTGGTTACCCTACCCTTGAAACTTGCCCAGATGCACTTCTACAAAAAAAAAAAAAAAAAAAAGGAGCAATGTTAAGGGAGAATCAGAGCTCTTAGTAGAGCAGAATGAGGTTTGATTCACTTTCTTCAATAAGAAGACTTTAGTTCTTCATTCTATCATAAAACAGGACAGGTTAAATGATTTATTCTGGTCACCTTGTACACATACTCAGTCTCTGACTGAAATACATTGTCTTTACGTTAAAGTGAATGCAGCCTTAGCAAATGTGAGCAAAGCACGAATTCTACTCACAGATCAAGTCCCTTTCAAACCAAAATAAATTTCTCACATAACATCAAAGCCTATTAAATCAAACAAACTTATTTAAGATGGTTGGCTCAATTCACATCCAACTTCCAACTTACACAGTTCAGTACTAAGTTTATTTCTCCAGAAAATGCTCAGATTGTAAATCTAAAAAAAAAAAAATCCTTCCTGCTTTTAAGCCATTGAAGCATTGCTTTAAGCAATAAGGGGACTAAGTGTTGGATGAACTGAACTGAATGATACCATAGTGAAAAAGCCATGCCCCTCAGCTCTATACACACTCATACACACAGAAAAAACCTTTTACTTTTATGCATCTCAAGTACTGGAATAATTGAACATCAGTTTGGCAATAAAAGCTAGACAGATTTAGAGCCAAATCCAACTCTTGCCCAGGGGGATTATATCTGACGTAAATGGGACAGTTTGGCTCAGTTTAAAAAAGAATAGAATTGAACCCAAAATGTGACCTAAATTTAAATGCTTCTGAGCTCCAGAGAATTACCCACTTGTGCGCATAAAGTTGCCAAATTCTATTGTATTCTGGAATCTTTTGTGAATTAAAAAAAAAAATGATTACTCATTTAAGATGGGAGTCGAGATTAGGAATGGGGACAAATACAGGTCTAGCCAAGTGAATAATAAAATTATTCTATAAAATAGAACACACCTCTTAGTTACATTATCATTCCGCAGTGAAACTACATAAGGAATGTTTACTGCCAATTTCATTGTGCAAAGTAGCAGTGAGATGCAGGAATGAGGATGATACGGTACCTGAAAGCATTTGAATCATATAATCTGCAGGATCCTCTACTTCCACATCTTTTAAATCCCCATTTGAGGCATGAAGTGTCAATCAAAATTCCAAAATACACAGGAGCTGGGATTCCTGCTGTGTGGAAAACAAATAATTGCTTCTAAAAATATACACACATCTTTGTAATGAATGAGTCTCTGGAACCAATTACTTTCAAACTAAAAAAAATACTGCTTTGGAGGTAATAGGGTACCTATAGGAGACCGGGATATGCCACCTCATCATCTTCCTCTGGCATAAAGGTTATTTTGAGAAACAGAAGGCACAGGAGAAGCCCTGAAGATAGAACGCGTTTCCTTTTGTAAGGGAAATTTACATTTATAAGAGAAATCTCCATTTGTAAGAGGGTCCCCCTCTCTGTACCAAGGAGAGAAGGATGATTCTTAATTCCAAGAGGCTTTTAGCAAAGGAGAAGGCGTACAGCTAAATCTCCATAACAGGGGCGCCTGGGTGGCTTGGTCGGTTAAGCGTCCGACTTCGGCTCAGGTCATGACCTCACGGTCCGTGAGTTCGAGCCCCGCGTCGGGCTCTGTGCTGACAGCTCAGAGCCTGGAGCCTGTTTCAGATTCTGTGTCTCCCTCTCTCTCTGCCCTCCCCTGTTCATGCTCTGTCTCTGTCTCAAAAATAAATAAATGTTAAAAAAAAATTAAAATCAATCAATCAATCAATCAATCAATCAATCTCCATAACAAACCTAACCCCTGTGTACCTTACTTTTCCTGGTCATCTTCCCATTACTTAAGAATGGGTTTTACTATTTTATGCTTTTATCACCCTTCTATTGGGCTGAAAATACTGATTCTAATTATATTAACATCTCATCTGTTTTATCTAAAAATATGTAATAGTTCAACATAACAATACCAATGTTAATATTAAAGATAAGACTGCAAAAATGTAGTGAGGCTATGTGGATTTGGTAATGATCATGTCCTTTTAAGTCTAAATGTTTTTCTTTATGGTTATGCCCTCTTATATGATGTACAGCTAGTTTCAGTTTGTTTGAAAAATGTCTTAGTTTCTTTCCATTGTTTTTTAATTATAGAAAACCTTTGCATAATTTCAAATTAAAACATAAAGAAGAGTTACATTTACAAACTCTACTTTCCATCCTGTCCTCTCTTTTTCCCTTTCTTCCCTTACAGTCACCACCACCACCATCATCATCATCATGTTTTTAGTTTATACTTCCTTTGTTTCTTTTTTTAAATATTAGCAAATACATTTGCATATGCATATAATATTTCCACTTTTGCATACTTCTTACACCAAATGCATCATACAACGAACATTGTTCAACATTTTACTTCATTTCACTTAAGAGTCTATCCTGGGTATCCTTTGGTATATAGACTATTATGTCCCTCCAAAATTCAGATGTTGAAGCCCTACCCTTAATATGACTGCACTTGGGGATAGAGTTATTAGGCAGATAATTAAGGTTAAATGAAGCCATAAGAGTAGGGACTTAATTCAGTAGGACTGGTGTTCTAATCAGAAGAGGAAAAGATACCAAAGCTCTCCCCCTCTCTCCATGTGTACACAGACTAAGACGCTTGTGAGGACACCGTGAGAAGGCAGCTGATTATAAACCAGGAAAAGAGGTCTCAGAGATCTCACCAAAGACCAGGCCTGTGGGCACCTTCATTTTGGACTTCCCAGCCTTCAGAACCGTGGGAAAATAAATTTCTGTTGTTTAAGTCCTTCGGTCTGTCGTATTCTGTCATGGCAGTTAGAACTGACTAATCTACTTGTTAACATTAGACAGAGATTTTTTTCCCCATTCTTCCTCACAGCTCCATAGGATTCCATTATATGGGTTCACTATACTTTATTTAAATATCTCATATTGATGGACAACTAGACTGCTATTTTGTGTTTTGCTATTACACATAATGCCACAATGAGACATTCATAACCTTTGACTTATTTCATAGTTTTGCTAGCATATTTTTGGCATCAATGACTACAAGTGGGATTGCTAGGTCAAAAGATATATCTATATGTAATTTTGTTAGTTATTGCCACATAACCCTCCATTGAGTGTTGAGACCATTGAGAAATGGTACCATGTGCTCAAAAGTAATGTTTAAGTGTACCTATTTTCCCATACATTGCAAACAACATTTGGTAATTTGCAAATCTGATAAGCAAAAAATATTATATCAGTGCAATTTCAATTTGTGCTCTCCTTATTATGGGAGAGTTTGACATTTTTTTATATATGAGGCATTTACATTTTTTTCTATGAAATGGCTATTCATATCTTCTACCCATTTTTCAACTTGCGTGTTGGTCCTTTTGTTCTTAACACCTAGAGGCTCTCTTTATCACAGAGATTTTATAAATTTTTTGTTACATAAATTGCAAAAAAAATTGTTCCCAGTTTATCATTTGCCTTTTGACTTTGCTTATGATATTTTTGCCATTTTCAAGTACAGTAAAAACTTGGATTGACAGCAACTTGTCCTGCGAGTGTTCTGCAAGATGAACAAACATTTGTAATAAATTTTAACTTGATAAATGAGCAATGTCTTGCAATCTGAGTAGTATGTGATGCCAAACATCACATGATCACAACTGAGCCAATGGTTCTTGAAATTCGCTTTGATATACAAATGCTTTGGATTACAAGCATGTTTCTGGAACGAATTATGCTCTCAAACCAAGGTTTTACTGGATATATTTTTATGAAATCAATTTTATGAATCATTTCTTTTTTTATACTTTATTTTTATTTATTTATTTTTTAAGTAGACTCCATGCCCAACATGGCGTTTGAACTCATGACCCTAAGATCAAGAGCCACATGCTCTACTTAGCCAGCCAGTAGAAATCTTTTGCACAGTGTAGGTTACATTACATTTCCAAAGGGAGGTAGATATAGAAACCAATTCCAGCTAGGGACATACTTCAGACTCAATAATCTGACATTTTTCAAGATAATCTTTGTTTTTAGGTCATAGAATTAAAGCCAGCCATGATGGCATCTTCATATTGCAGCCATACTGCATCTTCATATATACCCATTTCATATCAAGATCTATTTATTTTCAGATTTTTTAAAGATCTGAGTTTATTTTTCTCTCTAGTATTTCTTTTCTGTTAAATTACAGAGGAATATTTATGACTGTTTCACTTTCTTCTTTAGAATATAAACTTTGTACAGATAGAAAATTTATCTGACTCATTAACTCTATTTTCTATGGACTTTAACTTAAATGCATATTGAAAAATCTTCTAGCTAGTAAAAAACATTCCAATTACATTTAGAAAATTGTCAACTCAAAGCCATACTGTTTTGATTGCATGAATGAACTGATATTTCTAACAAATGATACATCCTAGCATTGAGAGTAGCTCAAAAGAATTCCTTCAATTTTAATAACTGAAAAAAAATATATTAAAGCTTCAGCCTTTCTTACTGATTCATATCTTCCTTTATTCTCAGAGGGCTTTTTTATAATAAGAATAAACTTTTTGACAATAGACCAATGCTGGAAGAGACAAGATTATTAAACGAAAAATGTCACTAATTTCACAAAATCCCTTTATTATACCATGGGCAGAGCATTGGCTCTCAAGAAATATTTACAGAACAAAGGATGGGAGAGAATAAAGGAAGGAAGGAAGGAAGGAAGGAAGGAAGGAAGGAAGGAAGGAAAGAAGGAAGGAAGGAAGGAAGGAAGGAGAAGGAAGGAAGGAAGGAAGGAGAAGGAAGGAAAAACGATATGCATCTAACCACCTATATTATGTAGTTATGCATGATAATTCTATAAAAATACATAGAGAGGTATTCAAAATACATTTATCATGGCTATCATAATTAAAACATAAATTATACTTACCAAGAACTCTTATTGCCAAGGTGTAGATTCCCAGGGCAAAACTCTTAAGTTGTGGCTTAATGCACCTAAAAACAACAAAAGCACTATAAAAAAAATATAGTGAAGAACAATTCTGGTCTGAGAATTCTGGGGCAATGCTTTCTAAATCATGCTCCCATTTGAAAACACAATTATTCAGGTTCTCCTTAAGCCCTTTTGTGAAGAACATATTTGTGGATGTCAGGTTCTATTTTTTATCTTTCCTAATCAATTTCCATAATATACTGTGGGAAATTAAAGATGTATATAATACTTTTGATTAAGTTAATTTTAGAATAATATAATATTCATCCTTTAATATTATGACTTAGTTTAAAAATCACCTAATCCATCTCATAAGATTGGTTTCCAATAAATTTGATGTTTTATGTTTAATAATTTTATCAATATTTGTAATATTTTTAGGTTATTTTGATTAATTGTATAATAGTAATATTTGCAAGGCTAATTTCATAATAAAAAATTTATCAATGACCATACTAGTTATGAAACTAGTATTTTAAAGTTTGAATTCATACACTTTTTTAACAGAGCTCTATGATAGGAGAATCAATAAAAAATATTCAAAAATAAATTATATTACAACAGATGAGAAGCCTGTAGGGAAGTTGAATGAAGATATAAGCACAAGGAGAAGAAATATGTAAGATATTTACTGTAAAAGATTTTTTGTATAATTTAAAGTTAGATGATATTAGTTATCTAATCTTTTTTCTAGATTCTCACTAATTACATTTAAAAGAGTGATCTACATTGAAATCATCATATTTTTGGGGGTGCATGGGTGACTCAGTTGGTTAAGTGTCTAACTTCTGATTTGGGCAGAGGTCATGATCTCATCGTTCATGAGTTGGAGACCCTTACTGGGCTCTGTGCTGACAGCGTGAAGCCTGCTTGGGTTCTCTTCCTCTCTCTCTGACCCTCCCTCACTAGTGTTCTCTCTCAAAATAAGTATACTTTAAGATAAAATAAATAAAATAAAATCATTATATTTGTAAATGTAAATATTTATAATATACTAGAAATCAATGCTTAATTACTATTAAACTTATGATAAATTTTTAGATGTCCACTTAATGTGCAAAAGTGGTGCACAGTTTTAAAAATTATTTTAGTGGGGCGCCTGGGTGGCTCAGTCGGTTAAGCGGCCGACTTGGGCTCAGGTCATGATCTCGCGGTCCGTGAGTTTGAGCCCTGCGTCGGGCTCTGTGCTGACAGCTCAGAGCCTGGAGCCTGTTTCGGATTCTGTGTCTCCCTCTCTCTGACCCTCCCCCGTTCATGCTCTGTCTCTCTCTGTCTCAAAAATAAATAAACGTTAAAAAAAAATTAAAAAAAAATTATTTTAGTGTTTTATAAGCAAAAACCCTTGGGGTCATTAACATATATTCATGAATTAGAGAAAATTGATTAAAAAATCATGAACACCTCCTCCCCCCCACACACAGATAATTCCAGTCAGAACAAGAAAAATAACCTTACAGATTAAAATAATAAATGTGAAACACTGTGGTATTAAATGAATCTTTAAAGTATTTTAAAATTTTATCACCAATAATTCAGTGAAACCATGTTTAATCTAAAACAGGTTTAGTTTAGGGGTACCTGGTTGGCTTCGTTGGTAAAGCATGCAACTCTTGATCTCAGGGTTGTAAGTTCGAGCCCCACAATTGGGTAAAGAGATTACTTAAAAATAAAATCTTAAACACACACACACACAGACACACACACACACACTTGGTCTACACTGGTTAATATTACTGCCACCATTAGAAATAGCATACTGTTTTTAAGTAGCTACAGTGATGTAGGCACTGACATCGCTCTGATCTGAAAAATTGATCTGAAAAATTTTAACTAGAAAAACTTCAACCATATATTTACATAAAAGCCCAAAGTGGGAAAAGGATAAAACTAGAACAAGGATGTGGGACAAGTTCCCTAAAAGAGCTATAAGGAATCATAATTCCATAGATCAGAATTTGAAATCAATCCTCTAGATGATTATAGTATTATATTAAAATTGGGGCAGGGAAATTAGTGTTCACCTTAGAAGCAATATGTATCCAGGTATGCCACCTAGGGATAAAGTATAGGATGTGATGACTGAAATTACAAGGAAATACAGAAACATTTTGGGACATCCATTATCTTTTTGACACCTGCCCATCACGCCTGAGGAATTTCCTGACTTTGAAGCTGCAATTCCCACACAGGTGCAGTTATAAAACATCTGTAACACAACAGAAAAGAGTCCCAATTATTGAGTTAACATTTGAATAAAGTTGAAGATAAGTATTCATTTTAAAAGACCTCACAGTATAATATATATGTATTATATAAACAATAAGGTAAATATTCTTTTACTTCTTGGTGTTAGGGTATATCAAGCAAAGTAAAATCTATATAGATAATTTTTTTTTTTTTTTTTAAATCCAAACAGAAGGTGGTTGGTCTTCAAACTAGTGACATCACAGAACAATCTCTCAGTAAGTCCTAGTAAATCCAATCATACCTTATCTCTTTCTCTGCCACTTCCAAGTCTAGGCCACCATTATTTCTTGTCTTGGTTATTGCAATGATCTCTTTACACTCAACTTACATCCACTCTTATCCAGCTATCATCTGTTACCCACATAGTAACGAAAGTGAGCCTTTAAAAATGGCAGTCACTATTCTCAGCTTTCCAATAGCTTCTTATCACACTTGTTGTATAAAATCCAAAATCATAGTGGCTTACACACTATCATGGATTCTGCTCTAACCTCACTCTTCAATGATCTTCCCCCTCTTCCTCTGTTTCAGCCACACAAATGGGCTTCCACTGTGTCCTTGCAAACCCTCAACCATGGCAAGTTTACCCACGTCTCATAGCCTTGCTGTTTTCTCTGCTGGGAAGCTCTGCCAGATAGCTATAAGGTTGGCACACATACCTCAGGTCTCTGCTCATTAGAGAGGGCTTCCATGACTACCCATTCAAAAGACTATCCCCATCACTCCATCCTTTATTCTATCTTTTCTTTACAGTGCTTATCACTACCCATTAGAATATTATATAATCATTTATTTTTAAATCATATACCCCCACTAGAATGAAACCTCTGGCAGAAACTGTCTGCTTTCTCATCATAGTACATGTACACTGTACGTGAGGACCTAAAACGGGTCCTCAGGCACTCAATAAAACTTTGTTAAATAAATGGGCACAATTTGAAGACAGGACTTTATAATGGTTACCAGGGGGGAAAAACCTGAAAAAATAAACCTCAACTAAATCTTGGACATAAAGGCAACTTTTATAATCCCTATTAGTTTATTTTTGTAAATTTCATGTATAAATGTGTATATATTATGAGTTGTCACTTTTATCACAAAAGAGTTTGTGATGGGGCGCCTGGGTGGCTCAGTCGGTTGAGCGTCCGACTTCAGCTCAGGTCATGATCTCATAGTTCGTGGGTTCGAGCCCCATGATGGGCTCTGTGCTGACAGCTCAGAGCCTGGAGCCTGCTTCGGATTCTGTGTCTCCCTCCCTCTCTGCCCCTCCCCTGATCATTCTCTCTCTCTCTCTCTCTCTCCCTCTCTCTCTCTGTCTCAAAAAATAAACATTAAAAATTAAAAAACAAAAAACAAAAGAGTTTGTGAATTTTTAGATAAACAATGAAATAAAGTTGGCTTTTCCTTTTCAAGGAAGAGTAGCAACATTGAATTTTTTTTTTTTTTTTTTTTTAATGCCAGGTAAAAGGCTTCTGAACTTTGACTCTGCTTCATACAAGATATGCGAGTTTAGGCATCTCAGTGCCTCAGTTCCCACATATGGAAAAAAAAGTAAAGTAATACCCAATTACTTGAAGACCATGATATTTAAATCCATTTTTTTAAGCACCTTTCTTAGTTTCTGGCATGAATGCCTTCAATAAGTGGAAGTTCTAGTCAAGGAAAACTTCCAAGCAGTTTGGACAAAAAAGTAGTAGCTGAAAGACAAGAAGGAGGAGGAGGATGGGAAAGAGAGAAAGAGAAGAAAGAATGAAAGAAAGGAAGAAAAGGGAGAAAGGGGGAGGGAGAGAGAGAGAAAGAGAGAGAGGAAGGGAGGGAGGGAGAAAGGAGAGAGGGAAGGGAAGAGGAAGTAAAAAAACGCTCAGATTTCAGATGGATAAGTAATCCTATTTACTGTTGCTAGAGGCCAATCCTTCATGTTCTGAATAAAATGTCAAAATAACAATAAACAGAGAAAATCAACATGTTACTCTGTGCCTACAGATGTCTTTGCCTAAGCATTCTTATCTAGTTGATAAGCATATGCAAATAGACATGTGGGTTAATTTTCAGCCCTCCAGGACTGTCAAATACAGGCAGATTTCATCAGCACAAGTAGACAGCAGTCTGACCCCTAGCCATATATACAGAGAGTACATGTTTGTACTAAGGAAGAGTCTATGTTTGGGGCAGAAACATAAAGGTGTGATTGGAGAAAGAGTCTTAATGCTTTAAGTACTTAATATCCTTCACAACTGATTTCTTATATTTATTTCCAACCTCAACTCCCTCATCCGTCTTATAGAACCCCTTCATTCGAGCCCCCTACTCTCTTCATTATTACACACATCAGCTTGATTTCTCAGGAAGAGTGTTTGGAATCATCAATCTCCTCAATTTGTGATCCCTGGATTTAGACCTCTTGGACTAGACTTTCTAACACTGACCTCTATTTGTCCTCTCCCTAAAACCTCCAAGGACCACTGGTTTTGAGGTCAGGAAACATGGATCCCAATGCAGACCTTATCATATGATCTGATGACCAAGACTTTCTCATTTGAGGCTAAGATTCCTCATAAGCAAAATGAGAGAACTAGCCTACATCATTGCAAGACTCTTCCAACATGTTTCACGATTCTAATTCTCATCCTAATTCTTTCAACAACTCTAGTCCACTAGCAACGGTGATGTTTCCTGTCTCCATACAAAAGAACAAGGGTAGAGTAAGAGCCAGGTCTGCTATAAGTGTAGTCTGCTTCTGGGTTTGTCCCTGAGCCCCTGCAGAGCTGTGTGGTTATGTATTGTCGCAGGCATCACAAGCACACACATTAGGGCTTTCTTACCATAGTTTGTCCATTCCTGGTGGAGGTCTGACAGCCAGCGAGACATGCCGATGCATATGTGATTCCATTGTCGCCACACACAGGTTCCCATTTTGTCTCTGAACATTTGCATCTTGAGTTGCAATCTGAAAAGAGAGCTCGTTCATGATAAGAGACAGGTTTGGTTCTGAAAAGAAATGTAACAGTATAAAATATTACCTCTTAAGCAGGCAGCACCCTAATATTTTCAAAAATCAATGTTCTTGAATGATATAAATGGCACTGCCAACAGAGTTTGCCTTTTGGAAACACAACTGTCATCGGAAATGCCAGCTTCTGATGATTAGATGTGAGTCTACTTTTAAGCAGCTTTCTCTTGAAAGTTATCTTTAGAAGTTTACAACTTCACATAATATCCAGTTCCGGGTTTATGGTTTTTACTAAAATTGACAGTGTCTAGGACCTTCTCATATATTCCTATGCAAAGATGTAGGAAGATGGCTAACAAGGCAAAAAAGAAATAAACTTCTAGAGTGATTTATGATATTACTGAAATGCACTGCAAGTAGTGTATGCATGTACATGCGTGCATGTGTGTAAATTTCCTTCAGAATTGTTGTCTAAGCATCAGTAGAATGGACATTGCTGATAGTGTGGTGAAAGAAAAAAAAAACAATCCAGCAGTCAACATTATTTCAACAGACCTTGGTTTGGAGAGCTACATATCCTATTTGTCTGTCTAATAAATGCATTGCCAGTTCATCTAACTTTACTCTCTTTTTCTCTTTCATAATCTCCCACACTACGTAGCTCATCCATATCTTAAGGCATTCTTTCTAACTCTCTTGCACATGCTTTTTCAATGACTTACCCATTCATTTGTTCATGTGTTCAAAAATTTTGTGGAAGCCTTCTAAGTGCTAGCTTGGGGAAGAGAGAAGAGAGTTACAAATATGAATGAGAATATATGCCCTTAAGGAGCTGGCTTTTTGTTTTAATTGCTCCCTTTACATAATTTTGATTGTCTTCTCTCTTTTCTCTCCCTCTCTGTCATTCTGTCTTACCTTCCCCTTTTAACTCTCCCAGTATTCCTTCTCTTTCACATCTATTTCTTCCTCTCACCTGAATTACCTAACCCTTCTACTCTTATTCTCCTTGCTCTTTTCATATTCCTTTATTCTTCTGAGGGGGTACTTATGCAATGGTATTTCTCTTCTACCTGTACCTTATTTTTCATCCCTTGGCACTCCATCATTCTTTGCCTTTTCTCTCTTGTTTTGAATCTATTTATTTGCTTATTCTCCTCTCATTTTTTCCCTGAAGTATTTGAGAGACTTAAAACCAAAAAAACAACAACAAAAACCCCACATACACTATCATGTATACTGAGTGGGGGCAGGAACTGTTTGTTTCTATTAATTCCTGTATCTCCAGCACTAAGAACAATTTGGGATATATTCTGTTAAGAAACCAGATTTCTGGTAAGTCGAAGTAAAATGCTATTCTATTTTGGAGGGGAAAAATCAGTCATTTTGGCCCCTCCTTCTAAGAGGTATTCCATATAATGATTGCAATTATAATTTTGTAACTGATGGAATATTCCATCTGGTAGAACTCCTATGCATGTGGTTACCTCAAACATAAAAACGAAAGCCTCTGAGATGTCTTCGGACAGAATAAAAGGGTATAAACAGGCTTCATGAGAAATCTTGTAGGAATATTTCAACCATTCTCTTCCATAAGGCGCTAATCGTTAAATTAATTGAGACTGTTGGTAGTATCTAACAGTATAAATAAATGCCTTGAAAGCTTAGAATCAGGCCACTATGGATATTGTAGGACTAAGGTCTCAGAAGTCTGGTGCTGAAAGAGTTTTGGGGGAGATCTAGGTCAACTTCTCATTTGGTAGATCAGGAAAGTCAGGTCCAAAGTGGGCAAATTATTGGCTCGATTTCACAATGTTTATTAGTGACAAACTTCAAAATGAGAACTCTTCCAAGCCTCTGGATTCCAAATTCTGGTATAACATCAAACTTACTCTCAATATTACAGAAGAAAAGTTTCTTCCATTACCACATCTAAAGCTGTCTACAAGGTTCCTGTTGAGTGTCCAGAATCAAAACAGCCTTGTGGAACAAAGCAACTGAGGATAATCCCTGGGGAGCATGTTGTATCTTATAAGGCCAATCATGTTATCTACTAAACGTAAGTTACATTTATCATCTAGGACAATCTTGTAGTGGAAATTAGTTGCATATTTTACAAAGGATGTGCTTACAGTGTTGTTATTTAAAATTTTAAGATAAGTTTAATCAAATAAGTCAGAATGCTTATACTCGAATGAGATTTTTCTTTCAAAACAGTCATGCTGGATGGAAGAGCTTTTTCATGGTATGCTGCCATTGCTTTTGGCAGCTTCCAATAGCTAAGCTACTTGTAAGGTTAAATCTTTGCCATTACTGAGAATATTCTGAAATATATGGAAAGCAATTGCAAAAGAGGAGTTTTAGAATGTTTTAACAATGATAGCATTATTGCAATGTAGTTATTGTCTTTCAAGGTGACTGCTTTCAAGGGCTAGTACTCATGCAATGAATATATTATCTTTTCTTTGTTTAAAAATATTTAATCATTTATTTTGTGGGTATACTTTTAATTTGAACTCCAAAAGTTAGTGACTGTTTATGTGTTTGCTTCTGGCTTCAAGACAGCATGATGCGGTAGACAGAATATTATATGTTGACGAGATAATTGACCTTTCTAAACACATTTTCCTTTAAACGAGGATAACAAAACTTACCTCATAAAGATGCTCTGAGGATACAAGTGAGATAATGAAAGTTATGCTGTTTTGTAAATTGCAAAATACAAAGTACTTTACCACTGTCCATCTACCATTAGGATTATAGGGACAGTTAAAGATAACACAGAGCTTCTACTCTCTTTAGAATCTTCTTGAAATTCCTATTGATAATTAATGTCCTTAATCTACATTACTGACTATTACCAAGTCAATGCTACACTCAGTTAAGTCTAACATTACTGCGGTAACTCCCAGGAGCAATGGTATATAAACTTGGCAGTCACTAATTTTCCTGGACATTTTAGATGGTGAAAAGTGTAGTTGATGTTCACTTAACAGCAGGAGAAACCAGGTTAATGAAGGTGCTGGAGACTGGAATATGGAAACAAGACAGATAGGTGAGCTTGGAAGGAGGTATAGGAAGAAAGCTGGAGAGCAAGCAGTAAATAAGAGGCACCTGAACTAGCAGAAGACAGAACATTAGATCAGCAGAGTTTCAGGCAGTCAGGCAGTGCAGTCACAGTGATAGGCTTGGCACATAGTAGCGGCTTAATAACTTTTTTTTTTAATAGAAAATGCATAATTAGGTGGAAGAATGAAGAGAGCTACCTCTGGGAACTCATGTTCAGAGGTAGAGAGATATCAAGGACTCTTGAAAGGAAAAGACAGAGTAGTTTCTTCAAGATCCAGCTTTGTATTAGGAGTGATAGACCCTGGAAACTAAGAAAATTAATCATCTACCTTACATAAGATGGCATAGGTTTGAGAGCATAATAAATATTCCCTTGACCAACTGCAAAGAGCTAAAGAGAGCTGTTGTGTGGGTTACCGGGCTGAGGAATAGCATTCTTTCCTGAAACTTCACATGATTTGAGTATAACAGAGAGAACAAAAAGTGTCACAGAGACCTTTCCAGTTATCCAAGTGTTCAAAGAAAAAAAAAATTGTTTACAAATGGCGCATCGATTTTGTGCCAGGCAAGTACTAATCACTTCTGTGTATATTATCTTGCTTAAGGCTTACAAAATTTTATAAGGTAGCTATAATTCTTATTTAAAAATTTGAGACTTGATTAGATTAAATGATCTATACAATGTCACTTCACTAATAATGGGCAGAGGCAAAATTCAAGGTCTGTATTTTCCACTATTAGGTTGCTTCCCTAAAGTAAGATGTAGATTTAGTATTTTCAATAATTTCTCTTTGACAACCAAATTCAAAGGAGATGACAGATTTTGGTGACAATAACAGTTTCCATGTCAAAGTACAGTCAGCTATTTCACAATAAAACAATAATTTCCTTCTCATAGTTAGCATGCTTAAAATCAAATTATCTTATTTTGAAATTCTATCAATAATTTGATTAAACAAGCCAATGTCCTCAGATAACTTAATGAGTGAACATACCCTTGGTAGGAAATAGTTAGTCCTGCCACATCAGAATTTTCACAGCCCAGTGCAAACAGGGAAAGGAATAGGAGGTACCCAAGAACAGATGATCCCAAGTAGAGTTTTGCAGCTCCATACAGACTGATTCTGAATTTTTTCATAACTATTCCCCCAGAGAATATTCCAAGGGCCACTGCAGGTATATTGATGAGCCCTGAGGAATAAAAAATATATATGTCATTTTGTGAATCTCTAAAAGAAATCTGAGTACACTGACATAAACTTTCTAAGGGATTATACAAAATTATAATACTTCCTGACAAATTGTTAGACTAGTTGGTCATTTTAAGTTATAGAAATATTCATTCACTATTGTCTATTGACATATCAAGAGATTTTGATGAATGTCTAGGTTATAGATTAAGGATAGCCCAACAGAGTCTCAGAGGTCTGCCTAAAACAGTGTCTAGCACAGAGTCCAAAATCAATAAACAATGAGTTAGTCAATGAGTCAATGTCTTTCTGGTCTAATCCCAGGATTGACATGTTCAATCAAAGGGCAACTGGGTGAAGTTAATGTTCTTTAAGGTTATGTGTAAAAGACTAATAGTCATGTGGAATTTAGGGAACAAAGAAACAGTGTTCGTTCTTTTTTCTGGCCCAAACAAAATTTAATTTTATTTACACTCTTGTCTGCTTAGTCTGGTATCCTTAACAACCACCACAAAAAAACAACAATAACAATGTATTAATAGACTACTTTTATATTTATTATTTGCTTATGATGTACCAGTCACTCAGGTAAGCATCTGATATATCTCTCACATTTACCCTTTACCACAACCCTAGGTAGCTATATTGTTAATTTCACTTCAGACAGCAATTTACTTATGGTCATGGTTAGTAAGTGTTAAAACCAGATTTGACAAGATAGAATCTAGTGTTAAATCCCCTGCTTTTAATCACTACGTTATACTGTCTCTAAGCATTTGGGAGACAGGATTCTTGATAAACAAATGTGCAGCCTCACTAGTAATCAAATAAATGTAATTTTAAAACAATACCAGGAAGAGGTCTAACAAAGTGGTTGAGAGCTTGGACTCTGGAGACCTAACCGGCTGGGTTTGGATCTCAGTCACACATCTTAATAGTTGTGCAACTGCAGGTGATACTCTGAATTTCTATAAATCTGTCTCCTTACCTATAATATGGAGCAAATAATAGTGCTGAGGTGACTGAATAACATCGAAACTTCCTAGCACAATATATGGCACAAAAATATCATTCAATTAAGTTATTATTAGCATTTCAAGCTATCAGATTCACAAAGATGAAAATACTGGGATGGGTGGGTAGATTGGAACATGTCTGTATTAGAAAAGGTGGGGAAAGAGGCTCTTTGATGACTTGGTTGGATTTTTAAATTGGAACGGTAACATTAATATGGTCACATTAGAAATCAACTCACCTCGAAGGGGGCATAATCACATAATTAGTGAAATAAAAAAAAAAGAGGAGGTGATAGTTTTTGCTTTCTCAACTAACCTGAGGTTTGTGGCTATGAAAAGTGGCAGAGATGAATGTATATGGGGCCCCTAAAGAGCCAAACATCAACTAAGAGGAACCTGATTATCATTTATTTTAAAAAAGAGAGAAGATAATGGGAGATAGTATAACAAACTTGAGTTCTCATGACTCAAATTAAATGCTAATATTTTCTCCCAATTTTTCTGATTTTTAAATATGAAGATATATAAAACACATTCTTTCTCTGTTCCAGATTCCATCTTCCTTCTTAAGAACTAAGCACTGCCATGGATTTGATGTGTATCATTTAAGTCCCTACTTTTACACACACATATTCATAGTTCTTGACTTTGAATCACCCTCTCATAGATCCAAGACTTACAGAAAAAGGGCAGAGTCCACTCTCTCAATTCTATCCCTCCAAAAGTAGTTTATAAAAAAATATATCTTCTGTAGATGCCTGGGTAGCTCAGTCCAGTAACCATCCGACTTGATTCTGGCTCAGGTCATGATCTCACGGTGAGATTGAGCCCATGTTGGGCTTCCCCTGCCAGTGCAGAGCCTACTTGGGATTCTCTCTCCTCTCTCTGCCTCTACCCCACCACTTGCATGTGCTCTGTCTCTCTAAAAGTAAATAAATAAACATTTTTTTAAAAATATCATCTGAAAAATAGACTCTAAATTGAGACCTTCAGAGAACGTGCTTAGAATTTCATTTGTTTTGTAAGGTACCAATCAAACCTGGGACATAAGGCATCATAGCACAAAGGACACCCTTTGTTTTGTAGCTTCATGCTCTGTTGGTTTCCACTGACTTTTCCCCACCCTGATCTGGCCTAGAAGAGCCTGAGAACCAAAATGGGATTATGCTAATTGCATTGTTCCCACAGTACAGAATGTTAAATATCAGGGATATCCTCTCTTGACTGACCTCCTTTAAGAGGCTTGTGTTCTCTTAAAACTTCCAGAAAGTTTTATGTGTTCTCTTGCCTCCAGGCCTTTCTTAAAGCGATATCTGCTTCATCTGATACAATGTTCTTTCAAAACCCCACCCCAGTTCCCATATTTTTGTCTTTTAACACCTCCTTATCCTTTTGCTCTTGATTTAGGTATTGGCACCTTGTGCTAGAGAATATTTTTCTAACTCCAAGATTAGGTTTGTTTTCCCAGAGTACTCTGGGCTTCTCCTCATTAGAGATTTATCACAGCATCCGCCAGCCATATGGTGCCTTCAGGGACGTATCTAGCATCAGGGTACTCAAGTTGATCATCAGAATCTCCTTTCCTCCCTCTGCCTGTGGCCCTTCTGCTGAGTCCCATAGGCAGCAGTCTTGATCCTTATCACAATTACCTGTTAGCTTGCCTGGTTTGCACTCCTTCCCCTCCAATCTCACCTTCAAGGCAAGAACTGTGCTCACCATCATATACTGTGCTCCTTGTAATTTTCCTTAAAAAAGTGCTGAATGACAAACTTTAGTTAAGTTTATTCAAGTATAACATTTCTCCTGGATAGTTTACTCTATTTTAAGATAATGGAATTATAACATCATTCTGTTAAATAGTAGTAGTACATTTCAAATATACTGTCAGCTTGATTCTCCCTTTCAAATTCCGTAGGATCTGTAAGCTATCTATGCTGGGCCAAGTTGAGTGTACAACAAATTTCCTGAACATTAAATGAAATGTGCTACTTGCCTCCCAAAGTTTCTTTACTTTGATTTCAGGCACTTTAAAGTCATTTAATGAGGTAGAAATTTCACTCTGATTTCTTCATTACACACTTTCCTCGCTATTCACACCATAAAATGTGTTGATCTTAAAACGTTTACCATCTAAATATTTCAAGTGGAAATATTAGTTGTAATTTACACTAGCATCCACAATTTGCTTCAATTTTTTATGCATTTATCTTGAATTTCATATATTTACTCAAATAACAGGAAAGCTAGGAGAAATTTAAGAGCAAATTTGTTACTGCTATTTCACTACACTCATTCATGTTGAAGACCTTATTCTTTGTGACTGTCCCAAACAAGAGTTATTAGACTTGTGTAAAATGCTTTAAGATGGTCAGCTACAGTTGCAATATAAATTGGAAACTCTGATTCTCATACAAATATATGATAGGCTTAGCCATTAAGATGAATAGTAATGGGCTATAACAATAATAGTACTTTGGAATGTTTTAGAGCTTCTCTTCTGGTGAAGTAAAATTCTGTAATATGTAATGGACCTCACTATATTACTCTAATGTTAGAAGATATAAATATTAAGATTTCAATTTTACAGGGGGAAATACAAGGAAAAATTTACGGGACTTTTCACACACATATAGCCAATTTAGTATAGACAAAGAAGCAAAATTAGCCATCTTTCTTGAGTATAATAAAAGTATTTTTTCCTCACAAAGTAAGATTAGTTTCCATTATCTCACAGATTTTTAAAATAACTTGACCTACATATAGAACACATCTTAACACATATTTAATTTGCTATGCTAAATTAGCCACATAAATTAATATTTTCTAGTATAAGCAACGTTCCCCAAATAATTATCATAATTTTTTCATATTTGTCTGTGTAACATCTCCAAGAATTGAGAATGATAATCACTGTTATCAATGATAGTCAATGTCAATGCATCACGTCCACTAGAAACTGTCTGATTTTATTAAAAACTTTAAGAAATTAAGAAAAAGGACTCATTGCAATCTGTGTAATAAGAAAGAAAACAAAACATAAGATCATTTTCATATAACTCAACAGTGATAGGAGAAGCTTAAAAAAATAAAAGGAGAAAAATTACACTATCTAAACTTTTTCCAGTGGAGACAGCAATGGGAAAAAAAAGTTACACATTTGAAAAAGCAACATTATTCTGTCATATACTTCCTAGTCCCTGAATTTGAAACATTTTTGTTGCCTATTTTTCTTTGATTTTCTTTGCAAAATTAAAGTAGTTAACCTGAGAAAATATTATTTCTAAATTTTAGAAATATGGCCAATATGTAAAAACATGTATAGCAAAAATAAATCGTCATTGTAACAACTGGCCTTTGAACACATAGGAAAATTTCTGCTTATTATTTCCTCCATGTCATGTCAAATGCCTACTCTGAGAGGAGAGGGGAAATGTGCTTTCTTTGTGCTTCTCCCTTACTTTATCACACAAAGGATCATTCCTTGTAGCCTCCCCACCCCCTCACAAAATGAAAGAGAGAGAGAAATAGGATAGAAGAAGAGAAAGTGAAAAAACAATATTTACTGAATGACAGCTATGTACATTTACAATGTATTCTATATGTCTTATTTCATTGCTATTTTAAACTAATGATGCTTTTATTTTTACCATTCTACAGATAATCAAAGTAGGTGTTAAGGATGTCGACTAACTTACACACTGACCCTTAACTAATGTGAAACCAAAATGCACTCAGGAAAGAATCCTAGCTACAATGATTGAAATCATTAGACACTAAGAAGACATCCGGATGGCCAACAGGCACATGAAAAGATGTTCAACGTCACTCCTTATCAGGGAAATACAAATCAAAACCACACTCAGATATCACCTCACGCCAGTCAGAGTGGCCAAAATGAACAAATCAGGAGACTATAGATGCTGGAGAGGATGTGGAGAAACGGGAACCCTCTTGCACTGTTGGTGGGAATGCAAATTGGTGCAGCCGCTCTGGAAAGCAGTGTGGAGGTTCCTCAGAAAATTAAAAATAGACCTACCCTATGACTCAGCAATAGCACTGCTAGGAATTTATC